TCTTACTGTGAAGAAAATTCTTCCAATTATAAAAGCAAGAGATATGGTGATGTGGAGAATGTTAAAGGCTCTTACAAGTCCTAAGTTTATAAGATTCTACAAATGAGGTAGTTAAAATTGTCTGAAAACTGTTAATCCATTATACTTAGTCTTGCTATGTATGTTGCTGCTAATTCTCAAGAATTTTGTGCCAGAAGAAGTTTTCTGTGTTCGTGCCCATCAAATACATGGAAAGCCTTTTTCTCTCTGAAACTGTTCCTCTTCAAATGCTTGATTTCAGGAACATGCAGTTGCAGCGTGCCTTTTGTATGTAATGTGTGTGGGCTTGGTATATGAGTTATGTTCTTTAAAAGTACATGATTGAATTATCTGGAAGCTAAGAGTGCGTGTAGCCTTTAGACTTAGTGTTACTCTGAGAAAATTAATGTTGTTTGTAACCCCTTTGGTCAGATAATATCGTAATTGTTAAACATCGAAGCGAGATTAATTTTAGGACGTTGCCTTTAAACTTTAGATGTTTTCTGGATTACTATGGTAACCAGGAGCTCAATTTCCTAATTTAACTGTATAAATCTGGCCTTGAAGGGCTTCATTTGAGAGTTGGTGGGTTTTTTTTTTAATTTTTTTTCTAAACTAAATCTGGCTCCTGATAATCCAGTTTTGTGCATTAATGACACACAATATGAGACAAATTATTTTAAGTTGTGGTAAAGGAGGGAGGAAGAAAAAAATATTCCTTCATAATGTCTTCAGAGAGTACCTTCCAAATTTTCTGAATAACCTTGGCTGCATACTGGGCTGTGTGCGCAAGCATGTAGCCAGCAGCTCCAAGACACTGATTCTTCCACTCTCTCTGGCACGTGAGACCACATCTGGGGTACTCCCTAAAGGGAGTCCCAGTACAAAAAAGACATTGATGTACTGGAGTGAATCCAACAGATGACCACTGAGATAGTTAGGTGCTGAACTACATGACTTAAAGAGATGCTGACTGGATTTCTTCAGCCTTAAGAAGAGAAGGCAAAGGGAAGATCTTGCTGAGGTCTACAACAACCTAATGGGAGGGTGATAGGGAAAACGCGACCGCAGTAAGAAGACAAAGGGCAACAGACACAATTTGGTACATGAGATATTCCTATAAGGTATAACAAATATTTTATACCATGAGGGTAGTCAAACACTGGAGTACATTGACTAGAGAGGTTCATTAAAAAACAATTTTCTAAATATTAGTTAGCCCCTCTCTTAAAACAATTTTTCAGTATTTGAATTAATTCTGGTTAGTAGGCCATAATGCCCTCTACAATTATGTTATAGTTGCTATAAAGTGCACTTGAGCATCTTCTGGAAAAGGTCTATAGGCAGCTATTCGTTAGTTTTTACAGAATAATTGAACTGATGCTTGATACAACAAACCAAATTTTAAAAATTTCTGGTGAAAGGCTATTAAAGATACCCAGCTGTGTTTGTCAGATAAAGTATGATTAAATTGTATGGCATTGTTAATGGAATCGTAGAGAGTTGTAAAATAGATAGTGTATTTTATTATTCCGGTTGGGAAAAACCCCAAATAAGGGCTTTTATTCCTGTACGTATCACATCTTATCTTAAATGTGTATAAGTTGGTTCAAGAAAAGTAATTCTCTTTGTGTAAGGACTTTTCCTTCCTTCTGTCTTTAGACTGTAGTGGTTAGAATATTACTTACGAAATCTTTAAAAGCATTTTTTTCCCCCGGGAGCTGTCTAACACTTACAGAGTTCCTGTCATTATGGGGACTGGAGAAATCTAGGAATTTATTACGAAATGGTATTTTTGTCCTTTAATCTCAAGGGAAGTTATCCAAGATAGTCAGTATGGCTGGAGAGGAGAAAAATAAAAAAGATTCTGTGCCATCTCTAATAGCAATTGTTGGTCTTCTGTCCTGATTGCCTGCAATTCTGGGGTGATGTGCTCTTCATTTGTGGGGTTTTTTTTGGTTGGTGGGTTTTGGGGTTGTTTTTGTTGTTGTTGTTGTTGTTTGTTTGTTTTGTGGGATTTTTTTTTTCCTGGCCTTACCCTGAAGGGTAAAAATGTTGAGATGCTTGACATCTGTAAGGGCATAGTATAATGGAGAACACAAGCTGATACTTCAGATAGGCATAGGGTTAGAGTGGTTACAGTCAGGCTGAAGGGAATAACACCGTTTGCTGATACTTGGTTCTGTTTGGGACATAGCTCTGAATGAAGAACAAGTCCAAAGATCTGTGGGCTTCTTGACCTCTGCGTCCCCTTCCTACCTTTCCAGCATGGAGCTGTGTCTAGGAACTTTCTGTTAATCAGAATTGCACTGGAGTTTTCTGTGCTCAATAGGTAATCATAGTCAGGTTTTCTTTGTGGATTCCCTTATTTCAAAGTGATTAATTTCTTTGCTAAAGCTTGTTTTCATTTCATTATAACACTAGCAGCGTTATAGGCTTGCTTTTCTGAGTGGCTTAGTACCTACTTTGTTGAGTTTCTTTCGCTTAATAGTCAGCTAATGTATCCATTTCCTACTGAATGTGCTTTTTTCAGCTTTATATGGGAATGACATGGATGTGTGTTTTTTACTGATATTCTCACTGAGAGCTGCAAATGCAGGTCAGACTGAACGTAGGTTGATACTTGTTTGAACTGGCTAACTTGGAAATGATAATTTCTTTTTTGTCTTTAAAAATATGATTTTGCTTACTGTGATACTTTTGACCAAAAGTATAAATAGCATCTTCTATTATTTCTCTGGGATGCGTTTTTGGATCTTAATACGTTTTGTGTTGCAACTGATGAGAAGCAATGTGTTGTCTGTATGTATTATATGTGTTTAATGGACAGGCCTCCATGACAGTGTCAGCAAATGTTTAAGATCAGAGGAACAGAGCACTTTAGTGCTGATCAAGTACACATTTGAATTTTATTTTTTCCCCTTCGGGTTACTGGTGTGTTAGAAAGAACCATAAATATTATATGTGAGAACTTAAAAGCTGTGAAGCAGTCAGAATATTTTTGCATTAGCGAGATGGATAAAAGAGTGACTGAGACTGTATTAAACTGAAAAGATGGTTGCTGGAGAAAAGAGCCAAAGGTCCAAACTTCAAATAAGAGGATATTTTAAGTGTTGAGAAACTGGGATTTTTGGTGGGATACGGAACAAACAAAACTTCCAGTTTTCAAATTACTGTGATCAGATGCTTATACCTTAATGTGGCTGTTTTAAATTTAATTTTAAAATGTTTTTTAGGCTCCTTTTTATAAAGATGGAATTGTATAGTTGGTCTACCTGTATAAGTAACTGGATTACTGAATTATTTGCTGTTCTTATATTCTTTACTATTTTTTACCTAATGTTTCCTAATCTCCTCTTTAAGGGAA